CCCACCCAGAACAAATATTGGTGTGATGAACACGATCATATTGTGTTATATGTCAAGTAATTTATCTATAATGTGTGTATTAAGAATTATTTAAGTATGTTTATAAGCAGTCTAGTTACCATATTACAGGCTCTGTTTAGTTTGGGGTCAGAGGACCGTGTGTGAGATGTGTGAGGTTATTAGGTAGGTTTTTATATAACTCGGGCTATATATCATCATCAAACTAAAGCAGTAATGTTAAATATTTAGCTGTTAAGTTATCGAATCACTTCTACGAAAAATAAACCTTCAGATATCACCTACTGAATGTAGGTATTTGCTAGGCTTATGTACACTAACCGTACCATATTTTTTCAATGTTGTTGGCGTCATATAAACAGTTATAGAAATGTGGTCGGTCTGTCCGTCAGACACGTCAGAAAGTTATTTGTTAGAACTACGAAACCTTCAAAAAGAAAAATCTTAAATGTATCATACTTTGTATCATAACTATTCAGGATGAGCTTTTGTTATATTCAAAATAAAGTTTGCCATCTATTATAAATGAAGGCATTAATATAGTAAGAAGTTTATTTTACTATTTCATTTTAGAAATGGTTTTACAATGTACTGGATACGCAAGCAAAATAGGAGATAAAACTTTATGTGTTCAACATTATTTTGTAAATGCGTAAATAGACAGACAGACGAGCCATAAGATAAGATACGATTTAAGAAAATCCACTGTGCAAAATGTAATACAGAACACGTTTGAACAATACATTGTTTTTGTATTTTAGTTGTGGACAATTTACTTGGTATGTTTGAAATAAAAGAGCTAATGGGATTTAGATGTTCTAGTATCAAACAGTCGTAATTGCAATGGACTGCAATACAAGCAGGATTTTTTAGATTTTTTTTAATTATACGCTTCTTAAATACTTACTTGACATATGCACAGTAAAGACTAAAGTCTAATGAATGTCTAGTGACTAATGAAAAACATGAAATTTAGCATAAAAACCTCGATGTGGAAATCGAAATCGACCAAAAAATGTGTAAAATATTTTTCTCTTCAAAGATTTTCCTTCAGTTGTGTTACCCTCAGACGGCAATAGAATGTCTAATCCGACTTAATGGCGAGTGAATGTCAAAAATACTTTTATGTTTCACTCACATTACAAATACATATATAATCTCTCTGAACGAGCAATTTTTGTGTAAGGGAAGGTGGAGGCACTCACGAATATTTATAGGTGTAATTATTTTCGTTTTTATTTTTTTTATTATGGTGTAAATGAAAGTGTAAATGAAGACTGCACGGATGGCGTAGTGGTTTAAGCGGTCGCCGCTTACTACTACGCTGAGTGTTGTTGGTTTGATTCCCACGAATTTTCGAACAGCAATTTGTGTGATCTACAAATTGTTGTTAAAAAATTGAGTTAAGATTCCTGTACCAATTTTAAGCAAATATCCGCTTTTCAGTCTTTGTGTTTATAATATACAACAACAAATGATTTATATATATTTTCAAAACAAAGCTATAAATCTAGAATGGGGACGCAATACATTCTTGACATATCGTCCAAACACATTACTTATTCACATGTATTTTCTTTCTTACAAAAAGTTTAGTGAATTGATCGTCAAGAAATTTCGTTTTTTCTCTTTTCCTATCTTTTTATTCAGGTTCTAAATGTGTATAAATATTTGAAACGATTGAAGATCGTATCTCCAGATGTTGAAGAAAAGCGGAAATTATCTTATATGTAGGTGCATGTATGTAAGTATATTTATCTACATATATTTCAAAATGTATATTTGGTTTGTGTACGCTTCAAAAACTCAAAAAGTTCTGCACCGATGAACCTCAAATTTGGACAAGATATACAAACCGCTTCACAGATTGTTTTAACTATTTGTGGCGTCAATTTGTTCATCATTTTTCATCAATGCAACCACAATGTACCACAGTTAAGCGTGGCAAGGTCTTTACCTTGCCACGCTTAACTGTGGTACATTGTGGTAGCTTTCTATATTATATAAAAATGTTAAGTTGGTTTGTGTACGCTCCAAAAACTCAAAAATTCTGCACTGATTAAGGTCAAATTTTGACACGATGTACAAACCGCTTTTTGTTTTTATCTATTTTTCAATTTACTTTTATACCTCATTTTTCTCCTCAGTGCAACCACTAAGTGCCACAGCAAAGCATGACGAGATACAACTAGTTTTTATAAAGATCTTCATAGTATAGTTATCCTATTCAAATACTTCACAACTTAAACATGATAACTAACAACTAGTTTTCAAAGTTAATATACTCATACCCAAAGCTATTTGTATGAGAGATTAGCCTTTTCTCACTTCGGCCTAGATAATATATCCTGTGAAACCCAAATATTCAATTGTTTAGATTACCATATTCAATCAAGATATCCATTGCATTGCATTCATCATTTGAAAATGTTTTTACAATTCAATATCAAAATTTGTTTGAACTTATCTTAGTTTTAGTATTAATAAATAAATAAAATAAACAACAACATAAATAAAGTTTACAAGTATTCTCTTTGCAGATTTGAGATTGCAGAGAATATTATTGAAACACATTAACAGTTTAAAAACTTTCCACGGTTGTAATACTCTCGCTATATGCCTGATCTGCTGATATCTGATCTAATTAGGCGTAAGTTATATTTCTTACTCGTTGTCTGCCTGTCTATTAGCGACAATTTAGCCTCCTCAATAGTGTTAAGAACTATTTGTGATAGTCCCTTCGAAGTCCGCGTCACTCATGGCTACGTCAGATTCTCTTGTTTATAAATAAATTCATAAACAATTAATGTACCTGTGTAACCACATCACAAACACAATGAACAATATTATGCAATGTTATTTGTTATGTCAATAAATACTCAATTTTGTGATGTTGTGGTTTAATAATATATTAGCGATCCGTCCCGGCTTCGTACGGGGCAATGAGGATATGAGTACTACTGATACTACTAATGTGGTGTCAGTGTGGAGTAATTAATTATACTATTGTTATGATAGGATTATACTACAGGACATTTTTATACGCAATATTTATAGACCTGCTCCGATTCTGCCGGCCGCCGCTGCCATACCGGGACGGACGTACGGCCCCACGCTGCTGCTACGCGGCGACGGCCGCTTTGCCCACGCATTTTAAATCTCTAATATTTACTAAGACATTCATTTCAATGATATTTATGCTATAAAGAACAATTCTGTTCTTCATGTAAAGCCCAACGTATCTAACCTATTAATTTGGATAAGGAATAATACTGTATTGTTTAAAATGGCTTCGTAAATTACCCATTATTTCTTTTGGAGATATACAAATCTATAGTACATTACTTTGATCCATCTCATAAGGTTTAGCCAGCGTTCGCAATGTAAGCGCACAAAAACATGTTATTTACGACTTCACATTACAAATCTTTGAAATTCTAGGATTTCTTCTACTAAAATAGACATGTATTTTACATATAAACCTACCTCTTGAATCGCTATCTTTATCGGTGAAAATCGCATTAAAATCCGTTGCGTAGTTTGAAATATCAAAGCGTACAAGAAAAAAAGCGACTTTACTTTATACTATGAGACTTAAAGATAAGAAACTATTGTAATGAGTTCCATATATGTAACACGTTTTTTCCCTCTTATCTGATTGCTGTTTTAAAATAGATCGCAGATTCACAAGCCATAGTGCTCTTCAAATAATCATGCATCAGTGTTACATAACTGTGCAATTGTATTTTTCTTCTGTTTTTAGGATGATAAACGTTCAGATTTGTCACTTGATGGTAAGTGATTACCGTCGTCCATGGACACTTTCAGCTTAAAAGACACAAATGCGTTGTCACCCTTTTTGTGCTCCAACCAGTTTTAGATCGAGAGGTTGGGCCTCCGGTAACCCCAGTCACTTGGTGAAAACTCACGAAAGAATGGACTGCATGGACGGCGTAGTGGTTTAAGCGGTCGCCACGCTGTTTAGTACTACGGTGAGTGTTCCATTCCACTTTGTGGGATCCACAAATTGTTGTTCTGAGTCTGGGTGTTCTTTGAATCCGTTTCATGTATGTTTCAAAGTCCCCCGCGACACAGGATGTATTTCTAGTTGCCTGTATAAAAATTAAATTGAAAAAAGATTGAGACGGCGACGGTGATGAAGTACTGAAGCATGGCTCTATCACGGTAATATAGCTCTCCCCGCGCGCGCTATTACAATAACTCTAATAATGTTTGTTCTTGAGGGTTTCTTGCCCTAACGCATAAACTAGATATGTGGTGTATGTGATTTTATTTTTTGTATATTAATTGTTTTCCAAAGAGATAATGAAAAACTATCAATCCATTAACTATTTAAGGAAGACGGTATTACGAACCGAGGCAAAATTAACAGCGGCAGCGTATGAGGCAGGAATGACAAGTAAAAACTAACATGCTTAAAAAGATAGATAGAAACTGTTAATATTAACAATGTTTTATAAATATAAATAAAATTCTTCTTTTTTAATTCTTATTAAAAGCTTTTTCATAAATGCATCTTCTGAAAATAGAAAATAATAAAACAAATTGTCGGTTTGTCTTTAGGTATTTCTGTCCTTCCACTAATAACCTGAGCAGGTAATTTACAAAAAATATATACGTGGAAAAGGTTGCCGTAAAACTTTCACTGACAGATAGCAAATGTTATTATAAGTATTAACGTAGGTTATTTTTATTTTGGAAACAGAATTATCGGCTTAATTCCCCTCACGTTAAAAGGTTAGGCAAAGTTTAAAGACTATTAAATGTATTAAGAATGATTGAATTACCAATTGTAATACACAATTTATTGCAAGTTTGGTTGGTTTTCTTTCAAAACTCCATATAACAATAAAAAATTCTTGGTGCCTTGATTTTCGTTACCAAGAGACGAAGCAGACTCACTTACTTTGCCTAGTATTTGATATTAATAATTCAAAATACTAACTCATTTATTCTCTTACCTGGCTGTTGGGGAAGGTGGCAAATGCTGATTGCACTTTATGGAGTGCGTGGTCTTGCTGGTGGCCCGGAGGAGGTCGACCTTTGGGGAAGTGGAAACGCGGGATGACACGTGCTGGTGCGCCGCTACTCGCTGCTCCTCGAACAGTTCGTTGCAATGTCGTATGAGGTGGCGCTGATGAAGGTTTTGGAGGTGCAGACGCTGCGTAACTCTGCAAAATAAAAATTAATTTTCATTATTTTTTAGTATAAACTGTCGAACTAAGAATTTTGTGTTATGGAATTAGGAATTTGGAATTGGAATTTAGGAAAATTATTTAGAACTAGAAAGGTTTCTTTGAATATTTATATCAGGTTATCCTGTTACTGCACAAGAGGGTGAAAAGTATTTTATAGTTTTAAAGTAATTGTATTTACACTTAAATTGGATATTCGTTATAATTTTTAATCGAATCCATTTTCTTATTCTGAAATATAAAGTTGTATTCAGTTCTTGATATGAATGTATTTTTTCTTAATAGAAACAGGCCAAGCTAATATAGAGCGTAAAATAAAATGAAGAAAAAGTTCTAGTGTCAGCTCCGACACAGGACTGGAGACTTCTTAAAAACGCATACCCTGTACGTATAAATTTAGTGATCAGCGTCATCTATTTAGTGTTCGTAAAATAATTGGAAGTAACATATTAATTGCCATCTATTTTGGAGTTTATGCCGTTAAAAAAACGATTTCAATTGTGTAGTGGACTACTCACTAAACTGAAACAAATTGTAATCATGGAACTAGTAACAAACTTACAAAAAGTATTATTACAACCACGTAAAAGTAAAAACATTTGGAATTAAAAATGTAACGAGGTCATTCGATCACAAAATTTTACTCGTCATATTTTTTTCATACCATACCCATATTTGAAATCGATTCTTAAACTCCAAAAAGATACGGTACTGAACACTATTAACAAAAGTTATTCTTTAAAATTAAAAAAAGATATTACATCGACAACTAGTTGATCCGAGTTATCTTTTAATTCATTAATAACCCACATCCATTAATAATCTTCGTCAACACTGATTGAGCATAAATTTTGGAAAATCCATTATTTAGATACGATTACATTGTCTTGCAGATATAGATTTAGCTAATAAAACACTTCTAAAAAAGATGACTTACATTTCAACTACAGAGGCATTAAAAGTATTACAATTAAAATATAATTGAGTATTTTAGGAGTGCTTGAGTATAAACCACTTTAAAGAAAGTACTAAAATCGTAAGTACCTACTATCTTTGAATTATGTAACATTTAAAGTGAAGACTCTTATTAAGACCGTGGCCCTTACAGTCCGCCCTTTGCTTTTTATCTGACCTTACGATTACCATGCCTTTTTATATTCACAAAAGCCGCAAGCTATGATGGCTTCTTCGCGGTTTAATCTTTTCTTATGGTAGAAATGACCAATTACGTTTGTTATAATTTTTCAAGTTTGTAAGTAGGCGTTCCCAAAGTTTGATTCCACGTTGGTTGTCGCTGGTTTGTTCATACAAATTCTATAGTTAATGGCCGATGAATGTTGGTTATGAAGTGTACAAAATAATCAAATTTCAGTGGTCACTCAGAATTTTGAACAAAAAACAAGATCTTCCGCTTTACTACTTCAGTAAATTCAACAAATTGTTTGTCAAAGTTAAGAACAGTGTTCTGGGGATTGGATTAGGATTACAGATTATATTTATGTAAAATACTGACAAAGATCCTGTGATACAAGTTTTACGCTTAAAGTTGAATATTCGATATTCATTCCTATTACATGCATGTTAATTAATATCTATATTCACTAAACCTGTCAGATATTTTGTTTTTCAAATATAAACTCACAAAATAAAGGAAAAACCTATGTCTACGAGTATATTAAGAATCAATGAAATTTATTTTAAAAGTATTTGATTCTTGTATTTGGTATTAGCTGGTAAGTTACTTTATGAGTTCTAATGTTTGTTGAAAGCTCAAAGTATATCATTTCATATGATCAGATTTACTAACCGATTTGTATAGCCAGCTGTACCAAAGTACGTTACATATTAACATCAATTTTTCGTTACCCTCCTTTTGCTTTCAACATGCCGCAACAACCTGCTTCAAAAGGAAATAGAAAGAATATATATCTTGCAAGAAGATGAGAATATAATTCCTTTGATATATTGCCTTCTAAATTGTTGATATATTCTACTTCTGTTCGCCTCAAAAACGATGTCAAAGAAATGCTTTGGACTAATGCGTTGAAAATGATGTTATAGTTGACTGCTATTGTTATGTCCGTGTGTCAGTTTCTATATCCTGGATCACTAATCACCAGACAGTTTTAACATACAATGTTGTAGGTATGTTTATAGCGATATATAAGCCAGTCTGACTCACGTCTTGAGGATTCTCTACAAACTTGCATGATACGTCATAAATCGAATTTAATGACAACAACAGTCAACACATCTTTGTAATTCTAAAAATACCTCCCTATACTTACGTCACGGTTTATTTTCCACGGGTAAAATAAGTCTGTAATGGTTATAAAAGCGTATGGTCTCGTAAATATTAAAGATGGATTTAACATATTTTTCTGTAATATTCAATCATGCATATGGCGGAATTTTGAGTACTGGTAGATATTCTATCCACAGTTAATAACTTGAGAGTGAATAACACATCCTTAGATAATTTATATGGTAAGAACTCTATTTAGTAACACACTAAAACAAAAGAACTAACTTATTCTGCTGGTGTGCTTGCAAATCCACCGTTTATAGTGACAGTGCCATCAGCTGCCACACACAGCGACAGTGAAAAGGCACTGAGTGCCGTACTGTTGGCCACTATTATTTTTCACGCTTTTACAGCTTTTATAATCATGTCAATTTTAAAACACTTAAACGATATCTATATTAATTTCGTTTTTACATTTTTTGTTTTTCAATAACCTAAACCTTATCTTCAGATTGTTTCCAATCAGCCGAAAGTGTGGCAATAAAAGACCTCCATCTTAATAATAAACCCAATAGAATATTGTTCGTAAACAAATCTTTTTACTTTCTCTGTATGCTACGCCAGGAATTGTCTTTTTTAACTCTGTGTAGGTTTAAAAAAGGAACATGAAATGCTTACTTTTTATACTTCGCATATCTATTAGGTAAATAAACGTGAAAACGTGAACTGCAATATTGCTACATCAAAGGATAGAATAAAACCTTAGTAAAAAGTTAAAGGAAAGTCCTGAGAAGATTAAGCCCATCCAGACAGCGAATACTTACAGCTACTGAGTTTATTAAAAGCGAGAAAACATATATTTTTGAACACATACCTACTAGTGCGATAGCATATAAGTATACTCGTAAATGAGCGCTTGATAGGATCTGTTTAACATGCGTATTCTGTGCTAAAGTTTACCACCATGGGTCTAATAATATAATCTATAACTTGACATTTTCAAATACGGTTGTTCAGTGTTGTAGTTCTATAGTTGAACAGTTCCTGGGGAGAAAAAGTTATGATTATTTGCATCTAAATTAGTTTAAGTATGTAATTGTTTTTTGTATGTTTTATTATTATGTTTAGAAAGTATTGCGTTTTATCTGCAAGTCCCGTTCAAAATCTTCACAAAATATAGTGATGGGTAACAAAAAAAATGTTTGAATTGAAACTTTCAGCGATTATCGGTCGACACTTATTTTTATAAAAACATTACTTAGCTATTAGCTGTGTTTCATTTAATTCATTCAGATATTTAAATGAAAAAAAAAAACAGACAGAGGTATTTAGAAAATCGTAAAAAAAAACAAATTTTCTCTGAAGAACACATTGTTAGTTTTAAAATACTCTTTGATAATGAATATACAGTTAATGTTTCCTGTTTCAATAATTTCTGTTTTTTCTTTAAACTTCATTTCAGTTTATTCTTACACGTTCAAACTGACTTTATGTAATGCCTAGCATTTTACGCTCAGCGTGTGATGCCCAGAAAATGTTAAGATGGGCCGCCCGGTTTGACTAGTATATACTCGTCTCGTCTCGTCTGCGGTCACTTTCATGTTAGTAATCTGTGCAAAGGTTAAAGGGATAAGTGCCGAGGACAAGCACCTTGACAACCACACGTTTGTGTTTTCTTATTACGGTCTAATTATTTTGTGTACGTTTTAAAAACTTATGTACGAGTACATTGCAATCCAAGCCCCTCATATAAATTTATGAATTTGTTTTTTTTTTCCAAGTAGTTTAACTTATAATTTTGTGTCCATTTCCTTTTAAATTAGTACTAATTGGCCTATGAAAGTGGAAGTATGTATTAAAAATACAATTTAGAAACATCTGCTCAATGTCTTTTAATTTTAATCGGCAAGTTCAATGTAAATTATGATATGCGAATGCCTGTCAATAGCAACGATGTTACTATATTAAGTGTCTACAAAATGTATTTTTTGCTGTTGATATTCCGAAAATACTTACTTTGAAAAACTTATGAATGAAGAGAATGAATGGAACGGAGTGCTGAAAGATGTAGGTGTGAATGTGAACCTGATTAGTATAAATGAAGGTAGATTGCCAGTACGTAGTATGAAAAATGGAAACGCAATTGGCCCCGACGGTATACCAGTGAAAGTTTGGAAGTTACTGAAAGGAGACGGGTATGAGTGACTGACTCTTCAATATGTTGTTGCAGGAAGAGGTAATCCCAAAGGAATCGTGTCAATCTAAACTTGTACCCATTTTTCTAAACAAAGGGGATGTTCAGGAATGCAACAACTATCGAGGCACAAACCTCATGTCACATTTTGACTGCACGGATGGCGTAGTGGTTTAAGCGGTCGCCACGCCGCTTCCTACTACGCCGAGTGTTGTGGGTTCAAACCCCACATGGGACGACACTTTGTGTGATCCACAAATTGTTGTTCTGAGTCTGGGTGTTCTTTGTGTCCGTTTCATGTATGTTTGTAAAGTCCCCCGCGACACAGGATTTATTCCTAATGCGGGAGTTGTCTTTTTTAACAAAAAAAAAAAAAAAAAAAAAAAAACATATAATGAAAGTCTGGGCGAAAGTGATTGAGAGAAGAATAAGAGATGAGAGTGAAATAACCCAAAGTCAATTTGGGTTTATGCCAGGACGCGGGACAATAGATGATATATTTGCAATGCACCAACTATGTGAGAAATACAGGAGTGCGCACAAAAACTTGCATATGGTGTTTGTACCCAGAGTGGTTTCGTGGTGGTCTTTAAAAGAAAAAAGAGTGCCTGTTAAGTATGTAGAATTGATTCGTGCTATGTACATAGAGTTTAGCACTCATGTAAAGTCGGTCACGGGAAACACTGATCAATTCAGTGTCTCTGTAGGCTTGCATCAGGGCTCTGAAAACGTAACAGACGAAAATACGTAAAAACGAATAGAAAATAAATGAGTAAAGCAATTACTTTTCTCATTCATTTTCTATTCGTTTGTAAGGTTTTGTTTTATTTATTACAAAAATAATTGTCAATTATCCCTTAAATTTTACTTTATTTGAGAAGCTACAAATACAGTTGAATAGAATACGTGTTCTTATTTGTTTATTAACTAAACACTGATGTTTATTGAGTTACAGAACATTAAACACCAAATTCCTAGCGATGCATTCCTTACACTGATTGCGGAATTTTTTCAGGACACCCTGTGTCACAAGTACTTTAAAAGGAGTAACTAAAGTTCACTCTCAGCCATCCTAGCTTAAGCAGATACACAATACGAGAAATAATTGTTCTTGTTCCTCCAAAAATTAAAAACAGAAACAAAGTAAGTATGGAGTAAAAGTATGCCTGAAGAACTTCGTAAATACTTGAGAAAAATTACCTTAATACCAGCACATATATATCAAATATTTACCCAAGAGAAAGTTGTATATTCAACAAAATTTAAATTCAATTTTCTCTTGCCACATTTCATTTAATTGCTACATAATTTTCCGTTTTATGTTAGCTTTTGCGATTATGTTGTTAAAGCGAAGTTTGTAGGTTTTCTTTGTCAAGTGTTTCGAAAAAGCTTTTTTTTGCAAAAGGAAGTCTTCAATGAACTAGGGATGTAAGCGGGACTGGGGCTCGGTAACTAATGGTAAAAACTATGTTCAAATACTTTTATTAAGAATTCATTTTAACAGCACACTGGTGTTTTTACTTAGTAATTACATAATAAAATCTCGTAATTAGTGAGCATTACGGACTACGAGCTTCCTTTTTATTAACAATATTGTTCCTAATTCTTTTAAGATATAATAAACCATTTGATATTAAAAGAGAAGATCGTGAAAAGATGTTTAAGAGTATATTATAACTAAGTACGCTGAACATAACCAACCAAAGA